AGATGAAGAGATGAAACCAGAGAGTTCCACGACCTAACTGTGGACTGTTCCACGACCTGTGGATTTTGTTCCAAAATGCAGATGCAAAACAGAGAGTTCCACAACTGGGCTGTGAAAGTTTCCACAACCTGTGGATTTAGCTCGAGAAAACAGAAGGCAAAACAGAGAGTTTCACAAGTGAGTTGTGGCTTTTACCGCACCTGTGGGTTTACGTCAGGAATTGTAGAATTGAAAGCAGAGAAGAGCACATGCATATTGAGGATTTTTCCATGAGCTGTGAAATTTTCCAGAGTAGTTACTAATCTCTTTTATGACGTGGATTTAAAGAGATTGAAATTAAATAGAACTGGGGGAAGTTACATAGAGCGAGTAACTACTTTCCAAAAAAAAGGGAATTGATGCAAAATTATAGGAGGATTGATAGGAGAGGATTTAAAAAGGTAATTTGCGGGGGGGGGGGGTGATATATATAGGGAAAAAGGTGAAGAAGGGAGGAGGCACTAGGAACGTACCAGGACATCAACGTTCACGACTTCAAGACTACTTCTTCTTTTTCTTCTGGTTTGCTTTTGAATTTTACATTATGCAAAATTGACTTGTCATTAGTTTGATGATTGTGTTATCATTGTTTCGAGAATGTTTATAACATAAGGGTTTGTCACTTGATTGTGCAAGTATAATATTGTTAATTGTTTTGGAATTGGGTTTATGTTTGTGATGCCCGGTGAAGCTCCTGGAAGTGTGGTGGAAGCAGCAATGGTACTTGCCCAGTGAAGCTCTTTGAGAATATAGTGGTGGGAGGTGTATACTTGTTCGGTGAAGCCCAAGAGGGTGGTGGAAAGCATATAATTGTCCGAGGAATCTCTAAGAGAGTGGTGGGAAGTGGTGTACTTGCCGGTGAAGCCTTCTAGAGAGTGGTGGGAGATGTCAATATGTAATAGTGTGGTAAAGTGTACTAGCCCGGTGAAGCTCTTTAAGAGAGTGGTGGGAGGTGACAATCAATCTTATGTTGTATATGGGTAATCGGTGGTGATTCAATGTATAGTGAATGGTTTCAAATAAATTGGGGTAGGGTTGGTGAATGATCGAGGGAGTCGGGGTGTGAATTGCTTACTTTGACAAAATCATTTTTTGGTTATATACTGGTGACTTGAAATTCTGATAGTGTGAGTGTTAATGATTTAATGTGTTGTCATGTAAAGATGTGTATAGGAGTATGATGATATTTACTATTCGGAAATCTTATTCTAAGTTGATGTTGAATACTTATGTATATTTATGACCTGTTTCTGTTAGCTCACCCTTTGCATGTTTGTGGTTCCTTTGCATGTTTGTGGTTCCTTTGCATGTTTGTGGTTGTGGTTTCCACATGCAATGATCGTACTTGTACGAGAGTAGATGTTTTTACAAATGTAGCTAAAGCGAAGTTGAGCAATGAGATACATAGGAGAATTATGAGATTTTAAGTACAATGTTAATAGGTTTTGTAATAGAATTCAATGAATGCTTTATAGTTGCATTTGATTTAGGAAGTTTTCGAAATTTAGTTATAATAAATGGAAGTTTTTATTTAAATTGTATCTCACAATGGTATTAGAGTTAAGTATTAAAAGGTTTTTGTAAACCCGTGGCATCTCAAAATTTGGAGTGTTACATCATGTTTTACCAATACAAACATGTCTTTAACAATGAGTCTATTAACATAAAACTTGTCTATGGGCTAAAGTCTTACTCATTTAACCTTATGATAAAACTATTAAATTATATCACATTTCCTAATTCCTGTGGGAAAATTAAGAATTATAATAAATATTTTATCCTAATTAATCATACAAATGTAAGAAAAATCATGTGGGTATATCTCATCACATTATATATAATTAATTACAATTAATGTTTTAATAAAGTGATTTTTATAATATAATTTAATTAACTAAAGTTGTTGTGGTTACTCTCAAATTGTTAAAAAATCCACTAAACATTAATATTCCCTAAAGGTCTTATATTTAATCAAAATAAAATATAAAAATCATATTATAAACATATAATATTTAAATTTATTATACTAACATTAAATATTAGTATAAATTTCACTTATCTTTCTATACTTTTAATTGAACTGCGTGTATAACAAATTTTGCCTGTCATAACATACATACATATATATATATATATATATATATATATATATGTATATGTATATATATATATATATATATATATATATATATATATATATATATATATATATATATATATATATATATATATATATATATATATATATATATATATATATATATATATATATATATAAAACAATTAATATGTGTAGAACGAAATGACAAGTCTTAACTAAAAAACCAAAACAGCAGCGTACATTCAACCTCCAGCATATGTATGCAGGTAAAGAAGAAAATAAAAACTGAAATATACGTTTCTAAAAGATGCCCAAAATGAAACACAAAAACAAAAAGCATTTCGATCATCTTCAACCTTCACATGGGTCCCTAACAAAGCGTATACTAAACGCAAAACCAAAATAATATCTAAGAGTTTTAGCATCAAAACATTTCATCACTGAAAGTTCACAGAAAGCTTTGTTCTTTCTACCTAGTTTCAAAACAATTGATAAAATTAAAAAACACAATAAGCAGAGGAGTGAACTAGACAAGGCAGAGGATAAACATGCTAATACCAAATGAAACAGATTTATACTAAAGATTCAATAAATCTAAATATGACAAACAAGTCATTTAAGCATATTCAGATTATAAGAAAAGCAGAAGTAGAAAGACCAACCTCCCACTATTGTTGTATGCTTGCTTAGCTTCTAGTTTATGAACTCTTGCTCTTAAAACACGATGGTGATGTATATGAAGTAAAGAGTAGGCTCACTAACTAGATTATCCAAATTTTTGTATATCTCCAAAACCATCACAAAGTCTTTTAACGTTGGAAGAGTTTGTTGTGGGAATCACGACATAAGCACGCACGTTTGAAAACAGTTTTAAAAATGGACCACTTTCAAAAGGATCCTAACTGAAAAATAAATAAATGGGAGAGGATATAACCTTAAAAAATGGAGACACTCTATTGTAACCTCTCTACTGTATAAAGGCTAACATACATTCTATTTCATACGGTCAAAGAAGAAGAAAATTTCAAACATACACACTAAAGTTAAGAGGTGGTGCCAAACACCAAACTTCTTGCAAATGGTGGCACTCAGCGCCATTCTTCTCGCAAAAAGAAACGCTCAATGACACCCTTCTACCACTCAACATCCTGAAAATAAAATTTCTTTCACAAACCTGGACGCTCAACGTCACCCTAGTATCGCTCAATACTATGCTAGACATTATACCTACATTTGGTACTTTTTAAAAGAACTTATACATAGCCAATTTATCAAACGAGTACTATTTTCTTATTGAATTAGTTCAAAATAGTTTTAAATTTGAAAACTCATATCACTTGACTAATTACTCATATTATAACTTTCTTAAACACAAAATCAAATCCAAACCAATAGGTTTACAAACCAAACATTCAAACAAAAATTGTCACTTCACAAAGTTCATCATACAACATAATAAGCAAGTTATACTCAACGCACAGTTCAATCATCCAGTCAATTCACCGTACAATCATACAATTTTATATTTCAAGTGCAAATTAGCTTCCTCACGTAAGAGACAAACTAAATTATTCAAGAATCTTTAAAACACATTCAGATGCACATGGAGCCCTATCTATTCCTAGGAACAACATAAACACAATCCAGACACACTATTAGAAACATTGATTAGTAGAAACTCTTATAAAAGACTTAAACACGACATGCGTACAAAGATGATTTACATGCATAGAGGAAATGTATAAACCAAGAAAAAAGATAAAAAAAAAATCAACTTATTCTATTGAAAAAACTAGTATGACAGAAGTAGATAGTTCGTCTCAAGAATCACAAAATCTCATATCTTTAAACAAATAAAAAAAAAGTAAGAGAGAGCTCTAAATTTCTTTTTTAGAAAAATAATATATTTTTAAATAATAAAAATCGATTATAAAAACTTCATTTATACTTAATATTTTTAATATTAAAATAATTAAATCTTACCATTTTAAATATATCATCTATTCTAAAAACACGTTTTTCTATATTATTATATTTTAAACAATTAAATAAATATATTTGATTTCACAGATAAACCAGTCAAAACCAATTAAGTAGCCACTCTCAAAAACTACGATTTAAAAAGTTTATTAGAATAGTATTGATTCCATCCTTAAACAGAAAATTAACTCAAAATTTATTATTTTCTCTTTCGTTCTAGTTTAGTGGAAAACACTATTTATTCATGGGTTGATAACTTTTGCCATAGACAAAACCATACTGAAAAACAATTGAACTAAATAATATCAATATAAGATGACTAAAGACGCTAACATAATGAAGCTTTTGGGACGATACCCTCCTTGTCGTTAACCTCACATATGCAAACCCTTATGGTTTCTTTCGGTACTATCTATTTTAACTTATTTAAAATGAAATATTGAACCCAAAAATCACAGAGTATTTGTTAAAAATGTTTTTCTATATGAAAAATAAAGAGTAAAAGAGGAATCAATTCTATCCTTAAAAAATGCTACAGAAGAGTGTGAAATTACAACTGCTTCACTAAAGTAATACAAATAAACAATTGTTAAGGAATTTTTCCAAGAAAGATGGTGCTGATACATTTTCCTCTTAAAAACAAAAAATTATTTTGAAAACAACTTTTCTAAACACGAGTAAATAAAAATTGAATTATATAAATTAGGTTAATTTTTTTTTTAATTTTCATAAAAAATAATAACTACATTATTTGGCCTTCATTCATTCAAAATTCAGAAAAGAAAGAAAGGATCATTATACATAAACCAATTCTTTCTCAATATTTAAGAAAGAAGAAAGAAGTTTATAGCATTTAAGAACGCGCCGGAAAGCTACCGAGTGAAGACTGGTTTGGAAGAAGTGCAGCCACCGCTTTCATCGGTTTTCGTGTGATCAAATTCCCAAATCATCATTTTATATAAAAACCAATAAATTGGCGTTTCAAATTTTCAGCTCTCTCACTCTGTGTACTTTGCAACATCCTTCTCCCATTTTCACATTCCAACATGTAAAGATCCTTTTATACTCTCATGACTTCTTTATCTTCCATTCTCTATATTAAGTTTATGTTTTTCTTTTTCATATTTCAGAAGTAGAAAGGGAAACGAGAAGTTTACACTTATATGGCCAAAAGAAAGAACCATGCAAGCAAAAAGTTAACTAAGCGTCAGGTAATGTTTATTCTTCGTTCCATTGATATTATTTTATCATTACCATTGTGTTTGCATAAAAAAAAATGTTTTTTATTTCCTATAAGGAGGCATAAAAGACATAAAAAGGTTTGGATTCTTCCTTTTAGAAGTCTTGTAGGTTAGATACACACAAAAATGTCATTCTCCAGAATATCTTTAATGCTTTTTACAATGTTATCCGCATGGGATCAATCTGATTTTTAAACTTTAAAAGGAGAACATTGGATTTAGCTACTTTTAATTTTAAATAACTATCCTGATATTTTAGAAAGGAGATAATAAATGCATGTGCTTTCTAAAATCTGGGCACGGATTCATCGTCATGAAAATGCAGTGACCTTGACTATTGCTGACACCAAGGGGCTAAAATAACTTCTTCTTTTTCATTTTTTTAATGACACTAGTTTCTGTTAATCCTCTGTTTTTTTAGTGATTGATTTGAAGGTAAATTTTGTGTTATGCCTTGAATGCGTGTCTCTGGTATTCTGTTTGGTAAAGTAATGATCTATTTGTAAACCCAATGAACTCTTAATTAGCAAAAAGCTCTTGACTTTTGTTTGGGGATAGATAGTTCAAGTTGAGTATAAAAACGGAATATAACTGTTATTGGATTGATACATTGAAACTTAGGGTTTAAGGGGATACGATTTGGTTTGAAATTGGAAAGGTTTGGGTTAAGGGTTTAACTGTTATTGAAGGGAACTTTGCTTCTTTATCTTGTTATATGGAAGATTTTCTTAAACTTACACACACACATCTATATATATATATATAATTGTTGTGCATGAATCTGGTGATTGATATACCTTTTGGCTGCTTTTGATGATGTGGTCTTTATAGTTATTCATTATGCTGGAGTGAGTCCATCACTCATAAAGTCTGTGCTCTTTACTGTTCTATTTCATGTCTGCTTTGAGCGTGCCATGTACTGTTTATTGTTGAATTTTGAGACTATAAATAATTTTCCTCATATATTTTTCCATGATTTCTAGGAACAAGCTCCCTTGTTAAGTTGATGGATAGCTTGCATCTCCGTACAATTTCTGCTAGATTGTCTTTGAATACTATTAAAATTGATATCTATGATTTACTCCTGTAACTCAATTATCTGATTTTAGTGTATGCACTGAATGTGGGGTCTAGGATGTGTTTTTATTGTGCATGTTGGCTTGGCTTCACTCATCTTCAAGTCATACCTTTAATCCTAATATATGATAAAAACTACATATTATGCTTTTTGAGTTGTATAGTTTGGCTATTTGTTTTATAATGATCTCTTCCCTTTATAGTCATGTTCTCCACAAAGTCTAAATTGTTAATTTTGTGATAATCGTAGATGACAGAGAAATATCAGAATAACGGGAAAGTTCCTAACAGTCATCCAACAAAAAAGCGTGGTAGACCACTAAAGACCTCTCAATTTCTAGAAACACACACAACAGTATCCAGTTCTTCTGATCCATCTGCTTCGACATTTGATGGGGCACCTCCATCTCCAATGCAAGGGGTACAAACACCATGTACTCCACAACCAACAAATTCAGATAATTCATATGCAGGAATTATCGTTGAGGCAGATGTTGGATTAGACACACAGAGCAAAGATCACAAGCCAATACACGGGGTACACACACCATGTACTCCACAAACAACAAATTCAGATAATTCATATGCAGGACATATCGTTGAGGCAGATGTTGGATTAGAGACACAGAGCAAAGATCACAAGCCAATGCTACAAATTGATGGGCAAGGGTATGTTCTTGTATTTTGTTACTTATTTACATTTTAAAAACTTCTGTCCATTAACATGTAATCTTTGCAGATTTTTACCTTCACGCCTTGCTGCTAAGGGGATTGGGGATATAATCACAAGGCATTATACTGATCCTTGGCCATCTTGGAGGAAGATACCAGCTAGAACAAGAGACTCGATGTTTGAAGAGTTTTTGGTGAGATTTCGAATGTTGGTGACTACAAAAAGTTGTATTTGCATGTTTACACTATTTTAGCTAACTTGTTTACTTATATATATAGACAAAGTTTTCCGTTAGTCCACCGGATTACAGGTCGGCAAAACGGAATTTTCAAATGCGAGCTTCAATAGTGATGACCAGTAAGCTACTTAAGGCTCGAACCACACTGGATAAACCAAACTGGATTGAAGATGGAGTCTGGGAGAAATTATGTGAGCATTGGAAATCTGAAGGTTTTAAAAGCAAGAGTGCCCAAGCAAAAACTAACCGGGCATCTAATTATGCAGCATCTCACACTGGTGGCTCTATTTCTGCATCTCAGCACAGAGCTAATATGGTAAAGTTGTTACTAGATATAATTTATTATATTGTTTATATCAGGGCTTCGTGTAAGAAAACCATTTTGCATCCATAATGCATAGTCTTTTAAGTTAATTGCTTTTCTTATTTGTGTAAGCCTTATAATCCGGAATAAATTTAAGCACTACACGCAATAATTCCAATGTTTAAGGTTACTAAGTTAAGTGCTTTACTTAATTTTTGATGTCTTACAATCGATCCCACCTTGTTTAAAAACATGATTTTTTTCTTGAGCAATGTTTGGTTCTTTGTTTTCAGAGATAAATTTTGTTAAGCAACAATGCTTAACTTTTAAAAATTTTTATAAGCAACTGTGGAGATGACTCTAAAATCAAGCAACTTCTGAATTTGTATTCTTTTTTCCGCGTCAGATTAAAGAGACCGGAATTGCCCCTACCCCATTGGAGTTGTATCGTCGCCTCCACCAACACAAGGACAATACATGGGTGGACAGCAGATCGAAAAATCTAAATGTAATGAACCCTAATATTTACAATCATGTAACTTTTTACGTGGGTTCTATTCTATTTTGAATTGTTCTAAAACTTTATGCTTATATTGATGATGACAGGAGGCATTTATTCGCACAATGAAACAATTGACCAAAAGTGCACTGGCACAAGGAAAGCCTCCACCAAATGAGTTGGATGTCTGGTCTGATGTGGCTAGATCGAAGAAAGGAAAGGTGTATGGGCTTGGAGAAAAATATGCAGCAGTTGGAGGAGGGCAATGCCCTCATGGTTCATCTTCATCAATGTTGATAACAAAAGAGTTTGGTGAACTTGGAGTAGAATCTACAGAAGTTAGAGGAGGGCAATGCAATCATCGTTCATCTTCACCAATGGAGTTGATTATAAAACAAGAGGTTGATGAACCGGGGAAGGAGATGGAAGAAGTAAGAAAAGAAAGTGAGCTTCAGACCAAAGGTTCAAATACTGAGAGGCATTGTTCATCTTCATCAATGGAGTTGATTACAAAACAAGATGTTCATGAACTGAGGAGGGAGATCGAAGAAATAAGAAAAGAAAGAGATGAGCTTAAGACCAAAGTTTCAAATACTGAGAGACATGGTTCATCTTCATCAATGGAGTTGATTACAAAACGAGAGTTTGATGAACTGAGGAGGGACCTGGAAGAAGTAAAAAAAGAAAGAGATGAGCTTCATATCAAAGTTTCAAATACTGAGAAGCTTATAGAGGAAAACAATGCATTGATTCGACAGATGATGGAAACCATCAATGATCAGTCCATGCTATCCATACACTCTAGAGGAAAGTCAAAACTAAGATGAGTCAGTCATGATGTTTGGATTGGTGGATTTTGGAGTGGAAGGAAATGAAAGTAGTAATTTAGGAAAGATTTCTTAAGTTTCATGGGTTTTGGATGACATGAAAATGTGAAGGATGTGGCAAAATTAGTTGACCCAACTAGACTATCTTTCCTTCAAATAAAGACAAACTTTTGTTGTTTTGAAATCTTAAGAAGTCATTTCAGTCCTCTTTTATGTAGGTTTCATCTGTAATCCATACAAAGTTAACTGCCATTGATTTTTATTTACCTTTACTGTGTTTTCGTACAGATTTTTTCTTTTTTTTTTTCATAATTTGAGAATAACGATTCTTGATCGAAAGCGATGATTGATAAGAATGTCTGAAATATTTTTGGTTGATAAAAAATATTTATATAATTTTCTGTAAATATAAACCAATCATTTTAATTTTATTTTGAATGTTAAAAAGTAAAACAAATATTTAAAAATTACATTAAAAGTCATCATTTTTAAATTTAAGTTACTTAATTTCAATTTTTAAATATAGTGACGTAATATGTATTTCAATATATATTATAAAATATTAACGTTTAAATTGATATATTACTTTTATAAAGTTTATGAATTGATATGTCAAGGTATATTTAAATTAAATAATTATTTATGAACTATTGGAATTGTCTTAGTTCTAATAAGCTTATTCTACTTTACTTTTTATGGATTTCAATATGATGACATTATGGAATAGAAATAGTAAAGGACTACTGTGAATATTTGAAGTTCAAATAAAAGTTTTGTATTTTTGTAATCTTTTTAACTAGAAACTTTTGAAACATTAGTTCTTTTGAGAAGCTTATTGGAAGATGAATCTCATTAATAGCTAGACTTTTGAATACAAAATCCACAATATGAAAGACTTTGTAAATTCTGTGTACAAAGAATTGCTTAGATCTTGAATCACGAGTGAATTTTTCTTTTCTTAGTTCTTAATTAGAACTATTAATTCTTATAAACGAATTTCCATTTGTTATTTTCTTTTAATTACAGTGTCAATTAAGCAAGCTGAATTTTTTTCATATTTAATTGTTTTGAAAATGTTCGGAAGCAATACTCGAGGATAGTAATTTGTCATCCCAGTGTGTTATATTATGGTAAGACCTTATTTCAATTTTTATTCTAATGCAATTTTTTTTTTACATTTTCATGGCAAAGGTATATATCACAATTTTAAGAGTAATATAACACAAAACCCGCAGAAATTAAACTAGTCTACAACTCACAGTTTAATATATATATTTTTTTTCTTTTTTATTTGATTGCCAGTATAAAGAAATACTTTTAAGACAATTTTTTTTTTATAATTCAAAGTTTTATCGGAGACTAAAGTTGTAAATTCCATTCGATGTTGATATATTTTAGTAAAAGGATTTTATAAAATCAAATCTAAAAGTTATGATTCACGGGTTGAATTTGATGTCTCACACTTCAAAATCCATTGATTCCACTAACCCTTCCATGGGTTGAATGCACATTTTTTCTTAGATTCTTACCGATAGCCATGAAAACAAAGAGAACATCGGTACAGGACAAATAGAGAAGAGCCTGAAAAGAAGAGAGGAGAAAATGAAAGAGAACACTAAGAATGTTTTTATTATATATCAAAATGAACGTACATATATATGTATATACATATATTACAAAAGTTGTATAATACAAGTAAAAACTAAATATAAGCAGAACTTAAAATCATATCAGTTTTTATCTTGCTTTTCATAAATAATATCCCGAAAGTGTATATTGGCACACTCACATCATGTATCACTGTCCTCACTCCTCTCTGCTACTCTTCTTCTGTGATGTACCATCCAACTCAGTTTCTCCTCTGCTTCACTCCACCTAGTCTAGTTATTCGTGTTTCGGGACCACAGAGAAAAGACTGAATGAATTGAAATTCAAAGTTCTGGTCTTTTCTATTACAAAAACACTCTTGTTTGCAGCTTTGTTATATGTGTGTTCAACCTTTTGTTATGCTTACTTAGGGAGTTCTACTTGTTTAATCATGATGGTTCATAGGAGCTTGCCACACTTTCTGATTTGGCCTTGAAAATACATCAGAACGCCCGTGTTTGTTCAGAATTTTGTGCTGCTTGTGTTTACTTCTTCTTGTCTTGTTATTGCCTTGTTTCTGACGTAGGTTCCACTATTACGGCTTTATTTCTCTGTTATATTGGATGTTCTGTTAGCAATATGGCCAAGCTTGCCCCTCTTGAAGACCCTCTTTTGGATGGTGACTCTACTTCATTCAACAATTCTGATCCTATTAAGACCAGAGGAAATGAATATTTGAACCGATATTCAAATGCTGGATTTTTCAGTATTCTTTCTTTCTCATGGATCACTCCATTAATAACACTGGGAAATGACAGGACTTTAAACCATGAAGACCTCCCACTTCTTGCTACTGCTGACAGTGCCTATGGGGTTTATCCAACTTTTAGAAGCAAACTCGAGTCAGAGTGTGGTAGTGTTAAAAATGTGACCACACTTAAGCTGGTGAAGGTATTATTCTTGTCGACATGGCAAGGGATCTTTTTATCAGGTTTATTTGCATTCCTCTATGCCTGTGCTTCTTACGTTGGACCCTTTCTTATTGACATCCTTGTTCGATACCTCAATGGAGACTACATGTTTAAAAATGAAGGCTATGTTTTGGCTGCGACTTTTGTTTTGCTGCAAAGGTTGTGGAGTGTCTTTCACTGAGGCACTGGATGTTTAGGTTTCAGCAGGTTGGGGTTAGAATGCAATCCATGTTGGTGGAAATGATCTATGCTAAAAAGGTTTGACTCTTTCGTGTCAATCAAAGGAGCTTCGTAGTACTGGGGAAATCATCAACTTAATGACTGTCGATGCTGAAAGAATTGGCGAATTCTGTTGGTACATGCATGATCCATGGATGTGTGCTTTGCAGCTTGCTTTGGCCCTGTTAATTCTCTATAGAAGCGTGGGTGTTGCTTCGTTAGCTGCTCTTGCTGCCACTGTAATTGTGATGTTGCTAAACCATCCTGTGGCATCATTGCAAGAAAAGTTCCAAGGCAAGATAATGAAATTCAAAGATAAAAGAATGAAGGCTACGTCTGAGATACTTAAGAATATGAGGATTCTCAAACTGCAAGCATGGGAGATGAAGTTCTTATCAAAGATTGTTCAGATTAGAAAGAGTGATGAAGAGACATGGCTAAAGAAATTTCTTGCTGGCACAGCAACTATTCGATTCTTCTTCCACAACGCCCCAACTTTTATTGCAGTTGTTACGTTTGGTGCTTGTGTTCTTGTGGGGATACCACTTGAATCAGGGAAGGTCTTGTCTGCACTTGCAACATTCAGAATTCTTCAAATGCCCATCTACAGTCTTCCTGACACAATTTCCATGATCGAACAAACTAAAGTTTCTCTGGATAGGATTGCATCATTTCTTAGACTAGACGAGCTGCAGACTGAAATAGTACAGAAGCTTCCGTGGGGTAGTTCTGACAAGGCAATTGAATTAGTGGATGGAAACTTCTCATGGGATTTATGTTCTCCTAATGCAACATTGAAAAACATAAATCTCAATGTTTATCATGGTATGAGAGTAGCTGTATGTGGTACTGTTGGATCAGGCAAGTCTAGTTTACTTTCTTGTATTATAGGGGAAGTACCAAAGATATCTGGGACATTGAAAATATGTGGAACAAAGGCTTATGTTTCTCAATCGCCATGGATACAGAGTGGAAAGATAGAAGACAACATACTATTTGGTAAAGAGATGGACATTGAAAAGTATGAGAAGGTGCTAGAAGCATGTTCCTTGACAAAAGACCTTGAGGTTCTACCATTCGGTGATCACACCATTATTGGGGAGAAAGGAATCAATTTGAGTGGTGGTCAGAAGCAAAGAGTGCAAATAGCTCGTGCTCTATATCAAGATGCTGATATATATCTTTTTGATGATCCCTTCAGTGCCGTTGATGCTCATACAGGATCCCATCTCTTTAAGGTTCTATATTTTTCTAAACTAATATTTTCTGTGTAATCTANGAGCGTGCCATGTACTGTTTATTGTTGAATTTTGAGACTATAAATAATTTTCCTCATATATTTTTCCATGATTTCTAGGAACAAGCTCCCTTGTTAAGTTGATGGATAGCTTGCATCTCCGTACAATTTCTGCTAGATTGTCTTTGAATACTATTAAAATTGATATCTATGATTTACTCCTGTAACTCAATTATCTGATTTTAGTGTATGCACTGAATGTGGGGTCTAGGATGTGTTTTTATTGTGCATGTTGGCTTGGCTTCACTCATCTTCAAGTCATACCTTTAATCCTAATATATGATAAAAACTACATATTATGCTTTTTGAGTTGTATAGTTTGGCTATTTGTTTTATAATGATCTCTTCCCTTTATAGTCATGTTCTCCACAAAGTCTAAATTGTTAATTTTGTGATAATCGTAGATGACAGAGAAATATCAGAATAACGGGAAAGTTCCTAACAGTCATCCAACAAAAAAGCGTGGTAGACCACTAAAGACCTCTCAATTTCTAGAAACACACACAACAGTATCCAGTTCTTCTGATCCATCTGCTTCGACATTTGATGGGGCACCTCCATCTCCAATGCAAGGGGTACAAACACCATGTACTCCACAACCAACAAATTCAGATAATTCATATGCAGGAATTATCGTTGAGGCAGATGTTGGATTAGACACACAGAGCAAAGATCACAAGCCAATACACGGGGTACACACACCATGTACTCCACAAACAACAAATTCAGATAATTCATATGCAGGACATATCGTTGAGGCAGATGTTGGATTAGAGACACAGAGCAAAGATCACAAGCCAATGCTACAAATTGATGGGCAAGGGTATGTTCTTGTATTTTGTTACTTATTTACATTTTAAAAACTTCTGTCCATTAACATGTAATCTTTGCAGATTTTTACCTTCACGCCTTGCTGCTAAGGGGATTGGGGATATAATCACAAGGCATTATACTGATCCTTGGCCATCTTGGAGAAAGATACCAGCTAGAACAAGAGACTCGATGTTTGAAGAGTTTTTGGTGAGATTTCGAATGTTGGTGACTACAAAAAGTTGTATTTGCATGTTTACACTATTTTAGCTAACTTGTTTACTTATATATATAGACAAAGTTTTCCGTTAGTCCACCGGATTACAGGTCGGCAAAACGGAATTTTCAAATGCGAGC